TGGGAAGAGAGGGACTAAAAGCTGGTGGCCAGGAGGCTGACTTGAAGAATGTGCCCTTTGGAGATTTAAATTATTATATATGACTGAGTGGGTTTTTTGTTTTTTAAAAAAAACAAAGCTAAAGTGGATAGAGATGTTAACTGTTAACTGATGATATATGGAGGGGATTATAATCACTGTAATGAAACAAGGTGTATGATTTGTTGAATGTAAAACTCATGATCTGCCCTGTAAACTTTCACTCAATCCACAATAAAAACCTTAAAACAACAACAGAGGGAATAGAAGCAAATACTGTTAAATGTTGATGCATGGAGGGGATTGTAATCATTGCAATGATACGAAACACAATGAGTACAAAACTGATGTTCTCCCATGTAAACTATCACTCAATACACAATGAAAACTTAAGAAATAAATACATAAATAAAAGAGACTAGAAAGAAGAGGACCTGGAAATCTACTTCTAAAAATATGGGCCAGAGACAAACATGAATAGTAATGGAACATTGTCTGTTATAGTGCTGGAAGATGAGCCCCGTAGATCAGAAGGCACTCAAAATAGAGGGGAAGAGCTGCTTCCTCAAAGAAGAGTTAACTTTAATGAGGTAAATGGCATAAAATTTCAGGACCATAATTTGCTGATGTAGCATGACTCCAAATGAGAAGAACCAGCTGCAGACATCCACTAATAATTGGAACATGGAATGTATGAAGTACAAATCTAAGAAATTTGAAGTAAACAATGAAATGGAATATGTAAAGATTGATATTCTAAGGATTAGTGAACAAAAATGGAATGTTACTGAGCATTTTGAATCAGATAATCATATAGTCTATTGTTCAGGGAATGGCAAATTGAAGTGCAGTTTCTCATTCATTGTCAAAGAGAACCTTTAAAAATCTATCCTGAAGTACAATGTTGTCACAGTAATAAGATAATATCCTTAGACCCACACAGAGACGACCAATGAATACAATTACTATTCAAATGTACATACCAACTACTAATACCAAAGATGAAGAAATTAAAGATTTTTACCAACTTCTGTATTCTGAAATTGATCAAACATGCAATCAAGATGCATTGATAATTATTAAAGATTGAAATGAGGAAGACAGAAACAAAGAGGAAGGATCAACTGCTGGAAAATAAGGCTTTGGTGATAGAAATGACATTACAGATCATATGATAACATTTTGCAAGACAGTTGATCTGTTCATAATCAATACCTTATATCAGAACATAAACAATGATGACATATGTGGGTCTTACTGGATGGACTATACAGTAATCAAATCAACTACATTTCTGGAAAGAGATGACAGAGAAACAACATCATCAATTAGAACAATAGAACAAGTCCAGGGGTCAGTTGTGGAACAAACCATTAGTTGCTCATATGCAAGTTCAAGTTGAAGTTGAAGAAAGCTAAAATAAGTCCACAAGAGTCAAAGTATGGTCTTTGAGTATATGCCACTTGAATTTAGAGACCATCTCAAGAATAGATTCGACACATTGAGCATTAATGACCGAAGAGCAAACAAATTATACATGACATCATATGTGAAGAAAGCAAAAGGTCACTGAAAAGACAGGAAAGAATGAAAAGATTAAAATGGATGTCAGAAAAGACTCTGAAACTTGCTTTTGAACAGCAGCTAAAGGAATAGAAAAAAATAATGAAGTAAAAGAGCTGAACAGAAGATTGCAAAGGATAGCAAGAATAGACAAAGTAAAGTATCATAATAACTTTATTATTATGATACTTTACTTTATAAAAACCTAGGATTAGAAAAACAAAAGGGAAGCACATGCTGGGTGTTTCTTCTGAAAGACATGAAGAAAAAATTAATCCTCATTTGCAATACTAAATTATTCTATGGACAAAGTATAGAATGATATAGGGATCATCAAAAGAAAACAGCAAGAATGCACAGAGTCACTGTACCAAAAAGAATTGGCTAACATTCAACTATTTCAGTAGGTAGCCTATGATGAAAAGTTGATGGTATTGAAGGAAGAAGTCTAAGCTGCACTGAAGGCACTGGCGAAAAGCAAGGCTCCAAGAACTAATAGAATCCCAGGTGAGGTGTTTCGGCCAATGGATAAAATGCTGAAAGTGCTCGTTAGTCTATGCTGACAAATCTGGCCAACCGACTAAAAGAGATCCATATATGTACTTATTCCAAAGAAAATGATCAAACAGATTATAGAAATTATTGAATAATACCATTAATACCACACAAATAAAAATTTCCTGATGATAACTTAAAAAATGGTTTCAGTACTTCATCAACAAGGAACTGCCAGAAATTCAAGCCAGATTCAGAAGAGAACATGGAAAAAGGGTTATCACTGCTGATGTTAGATGGATCTTGACTAAAAACAAAGACTACTAAAAAAGATGTTTACTTGTGTTTTACTGATATGCAAAGGTATCCAACTGTGTGGACCAAAATAAATTATGGATAACATTGTGAAGAATAAGAATTCCAACACTTAATAGTATTTATGGGAAGCCTGTACATAGACCAAGAATCAATCACTCAAACAGAACAAGGGATAGTACATGATTTAAAATCAGGAAAGGTATATGTCAGGGTTATATCTTTTCACCATACTTTTTCCATCTGTATCCTAAGCAAATAATCAGAAAAGATGGCCTATATTAAGAAGAATGCACAACCTGTCTAGACGGGACTGGTGAAAGGAGATGGGGGTGAAAGGACTCTTGTGGCTCAATAGTGAATCATTTCTATCAGGACTGATTGTGAATGCTGCAAATGTAAAGGTAGACTTTTTATAACAAAAGGAGGGGAGTGGTTATCTCGCAGTCCAGAAGCAGAGGACCCTGGGACCATCAAGTGAAAAGAGCATTGTGCAGGACCCTTTCCAGAGAAGCAGTGGCACCAGAGATGGAGGCAGAGATAATGACATGGAGAGATGGAGTGGCTGGGGACTCTAGACTCAGGGAGGGAGAGGGACGGACAGTGTGTGTGGGGGTGCCTGGTGTGCAAGGTATACCAGTTGGTTGTTTGAATGGTTATATATTTCTGAGTGCTTCTGTGTACACCAAAAAACAAAAAAAAAACAAAACAGAGGGCTTGGAAGCAAATGCTGTTGAATGATAACGCATGGAGGGGATTGTAATCATTGCAATGAATCAAAATATGATAGGATGAATGTAAAGCTGATGCTCTCCCATGTAAACTATCACTCAATTCACAATAAAAACTTTTAAAAAAGTAAATACATAACTTCTGGAAAGAGAAAGGCTGTGTGCTGTCAGCTGTGTGGTAGAGGCCAGATGCTGGTGGCCAGGAGGCAGGCTTGCAGAATGTGCTCTTTGGTTGTTTAAATTATTATATATTCCTGAGTGTTTTTGTACACATCCCCCACAAAAAACAAAAGAACAACAAAATAGAGGGAATAGAAGCAAATACTGTTGAATGATGATGCACAGAGGGGATTGTAATCATTACAATAACAGGATGAGTGTAAAACTGATGTTCTCCCATGTAAACTATCACTCAAGTCACAATAAGAGCTTTAAAAAACAGGGGATCGGGGAGGGAATAGGTTAAAAATAAAAAAGAAGAATGCAGCAACCAGATGAGAGGAAGACTCATTAACAACCTGCAATATACAGATGACACAACCTTGTTTGTTGATAGGGAAGAGAATTTGAAGCACTCACTGATGAAAATCAAAGATTACAGCCTCCAGTTTGAATTATACCTCAGCATAAAGAAAAAAAAAATCCTCAAAACGACCAAAAAATCAACATAATAAATAGAGAAAAGATAGAAATTGTTAAGTGTTTCATTTTACTTTTGTCCATAATAAATGCCCATGGAAGCAGCAGTTAAGAAACCAAATGATGTTATGTACTGCACTGGACAAAAGACTTCTTTAAAGTGGCAAAAGAGTAAAGAAATCACTTTGAGGACTAAGGTGTACCTGACCTTAGCCATGGTATTGTTGCCTTAATATGCATGTGAAAGCTGAGCAATAAAAAAGGAAGACCAAAGAAGACTGAATGTATTTAAATTGTGGTGCTGGTGAGGAACACTGAATGGACTGCCAGAAGAACAAAAAAAATCTATCTCAGAAGAAGAAGTAGTCAGAATGATCCTTAGAAGTGAGGAAGGCAAGATTTCGGCTCATGTATTTTGGGTATGTTATCAAGAGAAACCAATTCCTGGAGAAGGACATCATGCTTGCTAAAGTTGAGGGTCAGCGAAAGAGTAAGACTCAAGGAGCTTGAATGACACAGTGGTTGCAACAATGGGCTCAAGCATAGGAATAATTTGAGGTGAGGATGGTGCAGACCCAGGGGGTGCTTAATTCTGTTGTACATAGGGTTCTATGAGATGGAACTGACTTAATGGCATCTAACAACAACAACAGGAGTTTGGGGGGACTTGTTGACAAGTGTATGACATTAGGGCCAAATTAGCATGCCTGTACAATGGGAGCTGCTGAGAATCTCAGTGGGAAGTCGGAGAAGCCAAGGCCCTCAGAATTCAAGGTGGGCTTCCTGCCCTCCATCCTTCATCCAGGCCCTCAGCCTGGGACTGAGCTTCCTCGTCTCCTTCCTCTCCTCTGCCCTCTTCTTTATCCATCTGCCTCTTCCTTCTTCCTTGCTTCTTGTGAGCAGCACTTTCTACTCAAAGTTGAAGGTAAAGTTGTTGGCAAAAATAAAAGGTTTTCAGAATTCCAAGCAACCATATTCTTTGTTTCTGTACTGATTTTTGGCATAAAGAGGTGGTTGAGTCACCTGAGTCTGTGAATATCATTGCCTGCTTCTAGGGATACAAAAGCAGAATACATACCTTTCCCATCCTTTTTGGTGTTCCCATACTTTAGTCCTGGGCCTGAGACCATATAGCTCTCCAGACAGGACTGGCAAGGAGAAGGCAATCACTTGTTGTCTGAAACCAAAAATGACCCACCCCATAGACAGAGCTTGTCAGACAACACAGGCCTCACTCACCTTTTCAGCTATTAAGAAGTCATAGCGAAGGGCTTCTCGGGTACAGATGGCACCAAGCAGGAAGACAAAGACGATGTACAGGAACCACCTGCAAACCCCAAGACCAGAGTGGAGCTGCCACCTGACCTGGATCGAACCCTCCTCCCACCTCACCACAACCAACCTTTGTGTCCCATCTGAATCTGTCTCAGAATTAAACAGAAAGGCTAGCCCTGAAGGCTCCCTCAAAAAAAGCTGAGTTTGTCTGTTTCTTACATTAAAGAAGAAAACTCATAAAGTGGGTGTGAGATGTAGGGAGAGGTCCTGGGTCACCAGGAAGGCCACTCAATCTGAAGCCCCACACCCCACAACCATTATGCTTGTTGAAGAACAAACTGAGGACATCTTAGGCCTCTAAGACCTGCTGTTTCTGGATCGTTGGCAATAGAGAGTAAAGTCAAGTGTGACACAGGCAGGGTAGTGACCCGGCTCTGCCCCCAAGATGTCCTGTGACCTTGAACAGTTACATGAGTCTATCTAGGTAGTAGAGGATGGGTAAAACATTCCTCCCCAGCTGTGAACAAAAACAAGACAGAAATGGGCTTGGGGCCTTCGTCCAATCTTACTTCCATCAAATTTTATGTTCCAGCCCTTATTTAGAACCCTCTTTCCCTCCCAAGACCCAGAAGTTGTCTTCATTTTCTTCCTGAGCTAATGCTGTATTTAGCACAAAAGACTGCTCCAATGTGTTTGGCCAGTAGCAATAAACAAGGAGCAAATTCAGCATTTGTGAAACTGCAAGGTTGGTGGTTCAAGCTCACCAGCTGCTCCTTGGAAACCCTATAAAGTGTTGCTATGAGTCAGAATCCACTCGACAGCACTTAACAACACACACACATACATACATACATACACAGAGAGAAAGAAGCAGAAGACATCAGTTAGAAACAGACCCATGCTATAGAGAGAAGACAAAACACAGACTATTAGAAACAGACTTAAAACCCCCAAGCTGGCTAGTATGAGTGGCACTGCCTGAACTCCAGGAAGTATGGCTGCATTGGAGGCAGAAGACTAGAGGGTAGTTGGAAGAGGAGGACAGTCAGTGTAGTTCCTATTGTGTGTCTTTATACACAGGATCTCGTTGAATTTTCCACAATCTGTTGTTGTTAAGTCCCATCGAGTCGATTCCGACCCAAAGCTTCCGAAGGAGCAACTGGTGAGCTTGAGCCACTGAACTTGCAGTTCAAACTGCTTTGTAGTCAAGCGCATTAACCCACAGCGCCACATCAGAGCTCCTAAGACACATATATTATTGCACCCATTTTACAGGTGAGAAAATTGAGGTTTAGAGAGCTAAATAAATTACCCTAAGTCTCAGAGCTGGTATGCAAAACATACTCTGTCTGATTACAAAACACTTAATTTCTATGCTTCCTCCAAAGACGCTGGGAATTTAATGGTTAAAAACAAAAATTCCCAAAGTTCCAATGGGGTGGGGGAGGGGAAGGAAAAGGAAAGTTTGGATCTTTGATCCCTATTAATGGCACTCCTCCTCCCTAAGCATTCCCAGGCAGTGGGTATGAAAGGGCAATCATCTGAACCCACCAGACATGAATTTTCCAGCTCACTGAGTGTCAAAAGGAGAATTGGAATAAGCAATAGATTGGTCACAGAGGGGCACTTTCAGAACAAAAGGGGGACTCCCCTCCTCATCCATGGGTTTTTTTCTCCCTCTTACCAGCTTGAACTAATTGTCTAGTAACTTACGAGATGCCAATAGCTGCAAGGGAGCCCAGGGGGATGCTGGCAGCAGGCTCCCTGAGGTCACCCCCCATGTTGAAGCCAGCCATCACTCCTGAAAGACACACAGATGAGAGAGGGCTGAGACAGTGTCCTCCGTGAATCACCTTCCCCAAGATGACCCCCTTCCTTCTTCTAACTCCCTCTCCTAAAAGCCTTTCCAAGTCAAGCCCTCCCATCTGCAGATCTGCAAATAGGCTGCTTGTCAATCTCCCCTGGCAACTAGGAAGGCATCCCCGTGTCTATAAAAGGGACCTTTGTGAGTTGGGTGATGCTTGGTTGGAAAGTTACAAAAGCATCGTATTGCCAGTGCAAAATAATGCCACACAAAAGTCCCGATATTGCATGCTAAGCTTTGGATCCTCAGCCAGGACATTATCCCTGAGAGGATCAGCATCGCAAATGCCCAGGGCCCAGCTTTAGCCCAGCAGGTTTCCTTTCCTCCAGCTGTTCAGTGATTACACCTGTGTTTTCCAGTGTCTTCAGAGTCAGGTGTCATCCAAGAGTTGGAACCAAGAGCCACTTTCAAAGTTCTGTGCTACCCAGTGACTCTGAGCAAACACAGTCCTCTTCATCATCACCTCTATTCCTCAAGAGCACTGGTGATGGTGTACCGTGGAGTCGGTCCGACTCTTATAGACTCTGTATAGGGTTTCCGAAGCTGTAAATCTTTATGGGAGCAGAAAGCTTCATCTTGCTCCCATGGAATGACTGGTAGTTTCAAACTGCTTACCTTGAGGTTAGCAGCCCGACTCATAGCCACTACACTACCAGAGCTCCTTTCAAGAGCAGTAATGAAATAAAATTGATCCATCATCTGCTGTGGGTGGAGCAGAGTGCTGGTGTAGCGAGGAGGGGAGGAAATACGGTTGTAAACGCCAGATGAGGGTCCAGTTCATAGTGCTCTAAAGACTCAGTGTGATACACTGCCTGCCAAGGAAAGCCTCACAGAGGAGGTGGGTGGATCTTGAATGTGATTTTAAAAAGAGAATTTGAATAGGTTTAGAGATGGGAATGGGTGTAATGTATTATTATAGATTTATAAACACTTTCAACCTGATGAGGCTTGTGTTAAGTGTTTTACATGCATTTTTTTTTTTATCATGTTTAATGCTCACCACAACCACATCAGAAAAGCAGAATTTTCCCCATTTTATAGAAGAGGAAACTAGGGCTTAAGAGGGTAGTTGAAACAGTCCAGGTCACACATTTTGCAAGTGGCAAAGTTAGGATTCGAACCGGTTTTGTTCAACTCCAAACTAAAATTTAACCCCTCTAATGTAATGTTTCAGAGCATCTGGGTGAAATGAAGTAGGAAGGGGAGCCATTCCAGAGGGAACACTAAATGTTGGAGCAAGACTGAGCCCTGCATATACTTTTACCCAGGAATTACACTTCTAGCATTTTAGTTAACACAGTCAAAGATGTAAATAAACTTTTAGCCAAAAATGTTTATTGAAGCTTACTTATAGTAGTGGAAAATAGAAACAACTAATTACTGGAGCTCTGGTAGCGCAGTGGTTACGAATTGGGCTGTGAACCTCAAGGTCAGCAGTTCGAAATTATCAGCTGCTCCACGGGAGAAAGATGAGGCTTTCTGCTCCTGTAAAGATTTACAGCCTCGGAAACTCTGTGCAGGGTTGCTATGGGTCAGAACTGACTTGAAGGCACTTAACAACAACAACAACAATATATAAAATTAGGGGACTGGTTAAATAAGTGACTATACATCTTTCAAGAAATATCAAGTTGTTAATAGAATAATATTTTCAGGATGTGATGTAATATGGAAAGACATTTACAACCTACTACACCTTAATTTTAAGAGGCATATTAGAAAACAGAACATATGGTAGGATGTTCTAAATACCAGAGGAAAAAAATTAGAAAATGCTATAAAATATTAAAATGTTAGCAGTGTTATTTCTGGCTGATGGAAGAAGATGATTTTTAATTATGTATGTATATAATTGCTTATATGTATATTGTCCCAATTTCCACAGTCATAATGCATTACTTTAGAAATGGAGAAGAATAATTTTAAAAGACAGTGTGTAAAATAATATACTAAGCACATTTTCTTTCCTCCCATTTCCCACCCCCAAGATCCTATTCAAAGGATGTGACAAAGAAAACGAATAAATGCCTATAGCAAAGATGATACAAGGGGGTGCCCTAAGTAGATGGAAGTTTTCCACAAACATCTGGAACAGAGAGAATGGCAACAGTATCACAGAGTAAAGGGGAAGGAAGAAGAAGACTTATAGTACTTCTCTAAATGATCTGAATAAACTGCCTGGGGGAAAATTAGAGCTATTAGTGTAGATGGCTGCATCCCAAATTAAGCTCTCATCCAGAACCAGCCTGCTCAGAAAGCTGCTGAGATTAACTTTCTCATCAAGAAAGAGTTCCATCAGGGAAGGAGACCCAAACACACAACAATCCATGCTAGCCAATAAGGAATGTGTGATGAAGACCAGCAACAAATAAACAAACACATGCATAAATATAATGGAACAACCTGGGTTGGGAAAAAAAAATCAAGAAATGAAACAGAAGAATATTTTGACAAGAACACTAACTAGTACAGGATACATCCTAGAAGAATATTGTATCGATAAGACAAGATGTTAGGGAAAATAAATAAATAATGCAAGAACATGAAGGATCTTCTGGAAAATAAAAAAACTACCATCAACATCAAACAACACAATAAAAGATCTGAAAGATACAGTTAAATATCCCAGAGTTTAGAACAGAAAGTTAAAGGACAAAAAAAACTGAGCAAAAAAAAAGAAGTATGCGCACATCCAAAAAGAAGGAAGAACCAAAATTAACACGTTAACACAGTACCTACAACAATTAGAAACAAATCAACAGAGGGAAACTAAAGTCACCAAAAGAAAAGAAATAATAAAGATAAGAGCAGAAATAAATGAGATGGAAAACAGAAAAACAATAGAAAGAATCAACAGGACAAGAAACTGGATTAGTTAGATTTTAGTTAGATTACCAATCAAGGACTTCATTCTTCTTGGATCAACTATCAAGCAGCAGTCAAGAGATCAGACGACGTACTGCACTGGGCAAATCTGCTGCACAGGAACTTTTTAAAGTTTTGAAGAGCAGAGATGTCAGCTTGAGGACTAAGATGCACCTGACCCAGGCCATTGTGTTTTCAATAGCCTCATATGGATGCGAAAGCTGGACAGTGAATAAGGAAGATCGTAGAAGAATTGATGCCTTTGAGTTGTGGTGTTGGAGGAGAATACTGAAAGTGCCATGGACTGCCAAAAGAACCAATAGATCTGTTTTGGAAGAAGTGCAGCCAGAGTGTTCCTTGGAGGCCAGGATGGCTAAGCTTCGTCTCTCCTACTTTAGACATATTGTCCGGAGGAAACAATCGCTGGAGAAGGATGTCATGCTGGGTAAGGTGGAGGGTCAGAGAAAAAGAGGAAGACCCCCAACGAGATGGATCAGCCAGGTGGCATCATTGATGGACTCAGGTGTGGCAGCGGTAGTGAGGTTGGCCCAGAATCGGACATTGTTTCATTCTGCTGTACATGGGGTCGCTATGAGTCGGTTCCGACTCGATGGCACCTGACAACAACAACAACAATGGATTAATTGCTGCCATTATGTTTGTTTTTTTATGGTGTTGCTGCTTTCTTTGTTCTGTGTGTCTTCCTTTGTTGAGTTTATGATTTTTGTGTTCTTTCTTGTGAGTTTCCTCATAGTTTTAATGTTTCCATGTTCTTCTTGGATTTTCATTTTCTTGGTATGTTGTGAAGGGTTAATTTTCTTTGAATTTGCATTATACTCCATTAACTTTTCTCACCATTTAGTGCAGTCTATTTTATCCTGTAATTACCTGACCTTCTCACCATCTGGATCTCTGTTCCTACATGTTTACCTTCTTTTACATTGTAATTGTTTTAATCATTGACTGACATCCTAGATTCTCTAAGTTTGTTCTTATAATTTTGTTCTGTTCTTGACTCTTCCTTCTGTCAATTTAATTCTGGGAGGTGCTGCCATGTATGTCAATCTCTGGTTGTTGTCTGTTCTTGTTGGTTCTCAGTCCACAGAACTCCCTTTAGAATGTTTTGCAGGGCAGAATTGGCTTTGGCAAAATCCCTTACTTCTGTTTATCCTGGAATGTTTTCATTACACTGTCATATTTGATTAACACCTTTGCTGGATAAAGGATTCTTGGTTGGCAGTTTTTTTCTTTCAGTATTATATATATGTCTCCCCATTGCCTTCTAGCTTGCATGGTTTCTATTGAGAAATCCAAGCTTAATCTGACTTGCTTTCCTTTGCTTGTAACACTTCTGTTTTCCCTAGCTGCTTTTAGGAGTGTCTCCTTATCCTTGATTTTGGTGAGCTTGATTATGATATGTCTTGGTGATTTTCTTTTGGGGTCTATCCTTCCTGGGGTTTGTTTAACTTCTTGAATGTTTATCTTTTCACTTCTCAGGATGTTTGTTACAGTAATTTTCTTCCCGCAGTTCTTCAACTATTTCCTCTGTGGACTAGTGTGATTCTTCTTGTTCTAGAATGCCAATAATTCTTAAGTTATTCCTCTTCATGTTGTCCAACATGAATCTTAGACCTTCTTCAGATTATTTAATCCTTTTTTCTGTTTGCTCTTCTATCTTAGTAGTATTGAGAGATTTGTCTTCCAGCTCACTGGTTCTGCCTTCCATCTCTTCTATTCTACTCCTTTGCCCTTTCAGAGTATTGTCTATTTCTGATATTCTATTATTGATTGTTCAGACCTATTTCTGTAGGTTTTGAATTGTTTCCAATGCTGTGTCTATCTTATTTGATTGTTCCTGTAGCGCTTTCCTGGCTTCTGCCTTATTTTTCTCGACTCCATTGTAAAGTGCTTTGAAATATTTTATAGCCTTTTTTCTGAATTCCTTCTCAGGCATTTCCAAGGCCTGCCATCCTTCCATAATGTAGTCCAGATCTACCTCTAGATCATTTGTCTCAGACATTTTTTCTTGTTTTTTGACATGTGCTGATATGGTCATCTTCTTTTGCTTCTTG